TTTTAATGAACTATCTTTCGTCCTGTAGTTCTAATAAACAGAAGAAAAGAGACTAAAATATAGAGTTCAGTTGTTTTATTTATAAAGAGTTTCATTTATTTATTTATCAGCTTAGGGGTTGTGGAGATTGTTAAGTTTTTGATTGAGATCATGAACCGATTGATGTTAGACCACCATTGAAAACCTGGAAGCCCTGGACGGCCGTTTCTTCCTATTGTGGTCCAGCAGGTTAAGCTTTCGCGCGCGAGACTGAGTAGACAGTTGATAATAAATATAATTATTTTGTTATATCTCAATGAGTATAAAAAAATTATATTTCTAATGTTTCGTGATTTAATGTAAACCGCTTCTTCAGAATGGGAAGCAAGGTCTGGCTCACTTCTTCAGAATAAATAAATAACTGACATTTAATTGATACAAGTTTAAATAGTACGGAAGAATTTCATGGTTTACAATGTGAACTAATCATAGTTGAACAACTATTGAAGAATAAGGAAGTTTGGAAATTTGTTTTGTCCTAGTATGAAACTCGTCAGCAGTATATTTTCAACGATCGTTCTTTAGGAAACAAGTGAAGTTAGATATGTGAACCATTAGTCGTTTAAAAATTAGGCTGACCTAGTCTTTCTGTCCCATGCACGTCAACAAATACAGATCAAGATAAACAGTGTAGCAGCAGCTTCTCCATCAGTAGGCATTAACATATATATGGGGAAATCAAGGTCCACAATTACAATACAGAGAACTCCAACCCAATCACACTTGATGGTGAAGCTCTAGAAAATGTGGAATCTCTCAAGTACCTAGGAAGCATAATCAATGAACGTGGAGGACCCGATGAAGACGTAAAGCCGGATAGTGGCAAGGCTAGGACAGTATTCCTACAATTGAAGAACATATGAAATTGTAAACAATTGTAAACAAATATCAAAATCACAATCTTCAATACGAATGTCAAGACAGTCATACTGTACAGAGCTGAAACATGGAGAAATACTGCAACCATCATCAAATATGTACAATTACATATGGGAAATTGTCTACGCAAGATACTCAATGTCCATTGACCAGATACCATCAGCAACATCCTACTACGGAAGAGAAGAAACCAGGTTCCAATTGAATAGGAAATTAGGAGAAGATTTTGGAGGTGGGTATAGTATAAATATTGCGAAAATCATTAAGTGAATCACGAGGCGAGTTGTGACTGGGAATTGTGAAGGAAAAGAGAGAAGTGACAGACGAGGAGACACGTTGCGTCGAGAATTTGGAGTAGACGTCAAAATAATGAACACCACTTGTAAACAACTGGCAAGGACTGTTGAGGATAGAGTTGGTGGATAATGTTTGTGGGCGGCCTATTCTCCTGCACAAAGGTTAACGAGTGTGAGTAATTAACGATATTTGCTGTCATTATTATCACGTTTAATATTACTCGTAGTACACTCCTTAATATCAGCAGCGGGAAAATATGAACCCTTACACGTAAAAATAGATGTCTCTGTAGGCTAGTTAGCTGAAAATTGATTTTTCTTTACGTTTGGGAACACATATTATTGTTATTTGATAAGATGGATCGATAAGTTTAATGAAAGATGTATTAACATTTTAGTATTCTACTGTAGGAAGGTGGGTAACTTACTGATATCCTAACATTTATTTTTCGTAAGGTTGTAAAAACCCAATCGAAAAATGACCCAACAAACTCATGACCTAAAGCTTTTTAACAGTGCGTTCTAACAATTAAACAATAATTACACACTAAATTGTATTTAGGGTATTTTTTATGTTCTTTCATTATTAAACATCATAATTATATGCATATAAACCTAATGATTCAAGCTAGTAAATTTTGATTTATTTAATTGAATGAGAAAAAAACTTGCCGAAATTTCAATAAGTTTATCTACCAGATATTTAATATATTTATTTGATAGCCCGTAACATGCGACTAATGAAATAGATTCTACGAAACAAAATCTGAATTTCTTTTATTAAGATCATGGACTGGTTGATGTTAGACCACCACTAAGAACCTAGAGGCATTGGACAGCCGTTTCGTCTCATTGTGGAACTCCTTAGCAGTGCTCATCCACAACCCTACTCTTGGGATTCGAACCCAGGGCCTTCAGTTTCGTTCGCGAACGCTTAACCTCTAGACCACTGAGCCGGTCTGCATCCAACGGTGGTAATGTCTAACCTCAACCAATCCACGAAATTGCGTAACCATCTTCCATTGTACTGAGGTAGATACCTGTCTCTACCCGACATGGATTATCTCCACTGGTCACGGCTTCTCACTAAAACTCTGAGAATTCCCCCAAAAAGCTAGTCATTAGTGAGAACATGATGATTATCAGTATGGGGTTGTGGAAACTATTAAGATTTTGATTGAGATCGTGAACCGATTGATGTTTAGATTTTCAATGGTGGTCTAACATTAATTGGTTCATGATCTTAATCAAAATATTTTATGGTCTCCACAACCCCATACTGATAATATCTGAATTATTAAGATATTTCATTAGTTTCATTTGATTATAAAACAATTCAATTAATTAAATAATAATAATCATTACATTGATTGATCACAGGATGGTGATCAATGTCATGCTTGTCTAGTCCTTATTAGTGCAGATCGAATGCTATCGATCATGTTGCAATGTGGCCACCAGTCTAGGTGACTCGACACTGCGTGCACTATATATTGAGATTAGATGGTGGTTGGAGGTAGTCAACAGGCAACCCTAGACCCGGGTTTCGTGCTATTTGGCAGTGTCGAGTCACCTAGACTGGTGGCCACATTGCAACATGATCGATAGCATTCGATCTGCACTAATAAGGACTAGACAAGCATGACATTGATCACCATCCAGTGATAAATCAATGTGATAACATCTCAGTCCTACAGGAGGTTAGTCACGGCTCGGATAGCTCAGTGCTAACGTCTCTGACTGTGAAGCTGAGTGACACGAGATCGAATCCGCCAGGGAGCACCAGTTCCCTCAAGATTACTGGTACACCATGCTGACGAGTGCCAAGTAGCACGAAACCCGGGTCCAGGGTTTCCTGTTGACTACCTCCAACCACCATCTAAATAATAATAATAATCTGGTCACTAATTAATATTCTTTACAAATTATTTACATACCGTAAAATGCATTTTAACTGGCAACTTTACCAATTGGATAGATTGTTCACCCCTTGCCCTTTGCTATTCCACACCCTTCATTTTAATTTATCTGTAATTTGGCATGAATTATCATGGATTAATTTTGATATTAGTTTGTAAATTAACTTGATTAAACTTTTGTATTCATCTGACTAGTAGCCGAAGAAAATTCGAATCACATCAATCTATTCATAGGCTAACATTTTTATTTCACTAATTATTTTAATATGTAACGTTTGATTAATAGAAATAGAGTTCACATTACTATCTTTAGTTACCATCTACTTTACAATGTTAACATAAGACTGGACAAGTTATCTAGTGTAGGATATTGACTAACTCTCATTCAAATAAAACTTGGATACTAATTGACTATTTCATTAATTTTTGTGATTGTTTTATATTGAAAATGGTCTGTTAGACAAGACTGTTTTTGATGTTACAATTCTTGTTGTAAACTGGATACAATATAGATAGTATCGATGGAGGTCAGACTATAATTTATAGACAAACCAACCAGATTCAAGATAGTCTTAGATTTTGGCGTGATATTCTAACTCTAATTCTTAACCCTAATCCCCAACTCTAAATTTCAATTCTGATTTCTTACATTAGTTTATAGCCCTCTTTAGACACTGATAGGTTGGTGCATTTCCTTAAGATCATTTTGGAACAGCTCGAATGTTGTTCATAAATTACAGTCTCACCGGTGAATGAGTTTAAATTAATATTTCACGAACTTTAAAAACCTTATAATTAATTCAAACGACTTCTGAGTTAGTAATACAAAACTTGCCGGTTTCATGTTCAGTCATGCATCATCTTCATTTGTGACCCTACGTATAGGAAAATCAGTTTGAAAGATAAGTTCTGGATAATTAATGGCGTACATGTTTATGGTAAAAAAAACACAACATAGTGTTATGAATAAAATGTTACCAAAGTGTACTTAGTAAATCGGCAAAATTCGATTGTCTAGACTAGACAAGACAAACGCTGGTCAGTGACCGAATCAATTTTAAATATCTGAGAATTACACTAGGTCTTTCCAGTTCAAACAGAGTACTGATGTTTCGGTTTGTGATGTTTTATGCCTAAGGTTTGGACGCAATTCACCCAACTGATGACTGGCAACTATCAAGAAATTTAGGTCTGAGGTTTGTTGTTAACTAAGTTCAATCACCGAAAATGATTGAATCCCACTAGTCATAAGCTGCCACTAAAACTTTAGAAATTCATCTTAAAGCCAGTTACTTGTAAGGATTTTGTTAATTTTTTTGGTTAAGATCTTTATTTAGATAAAACTACATTTAAGATGGGCTTTGTCACAGATTGACTGTTTTAAAATATCTTTGAAAATGAGAATTATTTATTATATAGAAAGCGATTAGATAACAAAGGTTGGAAAAAAGACAGGATAACGAAGAAGTTGATTAGACTTTTAGTTGAACGCTAGACTCGGTTCCCAAGCTCTTCCAGTAACCCCCAGGCTAGATCTAAACAGCAACTTGAAAAGGCGCGAAATATAGAAGAACCGCTTTACTCCAAAGGTTCGTTTATGTACAGAAAAGAACTAGGGATTTTATAGTATTTTATATGGCATTGGGTTTCCGGAAAATTCTGGAACGCTACTAAACATAGTAGCAGTACAGGTAATCATCCAATCAGAAACTGGACATGTGATTTTTCGCTTTTGAGATGTTTCTGGTAAAACGTTTAGTGAATGCTAATTGGGTAAGATGCTTCTTTATGTTTTCAGAGACTTTGTTATCATTTTTCGAGTTTTCTAAATCTCCCTAGTACATACTGATATGTTCAAAAAAGACCGATGCAGTTTGATAAAAGTAGATTTTTGGAAACTGATAGTAAAAAATATAAAAGAAACCAAACCACTTCTAATGAAGTTCATATAACGGATTACAGGCATTCTAATTATCCTAATCATGCTAATCTTGATAATACTAATAGTGATAATAACAGTAATAATAAATCTATGATGAATACAGATCAGCTGAAATTGAACTTATAAGTCAGTAGAATTCGATTACTCGTCTTGATAATTTTGTACACTGCAAAACCTGAACATTTTGTGTTCAACTTCATATAGATTATAAAAAGAATTCTAATGAAGAGTTCTTTACTTACCTGATCTTCATTTCTACTTCAGTTTATGTTTACTGGCAATGGACCATCGCTTTTAAAGGATTTCGTTAATTGTTTTTATCATCATTACTGCATAATATGAAAAAAATTGGTCATTAATTTATATGGTTGATATTTATTATATTCTTCTTATTGTATAATTACTGTTGAAACTATCAGTTCGATAAAGAATTCATTGTCACTAAGAAAAGAGAAGTAGAGATACCTTCATTATAAGTTAGTTATCTAACCGCTATAAAAACATGTTCACATGGTTTATTCCATCCTAGCACTACCACTTAATTTGATACTTGTAAATAAATCTGAAAAAATATTATTCTGCAAATTTCGGAGTAGAATCAACTATCCTATTTTAGAAAGATAAAAGAGATATTCTTAATTTTCAGTCTGTTCTTCTAGTCACCACACGGAATAGACAAAGATTTTTACATTTCATAGTTAACATTGCGGACTGATCTGAATAAGACAGTCATTGAAAATCAGAAAGCATTAAACAGCTGCTTCGTCCTATTAAATTCAAAAGTCTCCATGAACCCTTTGATGTAAATATTCATCGGTATGCTAGTGACTTATTTGAAGAGTTAATTTTAGGAGTTCCAGTGAGAATTCGTGACTAGCGGAGTTCATCTATGTCGAGTGCCTCACATCATTTGGAAGATGGTTAAGTGATATGACAAATTAATTGGAATTGAACATGTAAACCATTAAATTCCGGGTTTAAGCAACCACTCGCATAAACCAAAGGTTCTATGCTCGATCTACGAAGGTGGGCTAGTGAACATGAAAAGTCCCATACATCTGTCCAGTATTTTTGAAGTTTACTGAAATAACCATATATTTAACCATCATTGTGAGAAAAAGGGTTTGTGACTTAAGGGGACACTGTAAAGAGTACTTCGAATATTAACTTAGCATAATCACATATAGAATATACTTTTATAAAAACAGTTATAGTTGTAGTGAACGAGAACTCAGGCCGGGAGAACCAATTTACTGTTTAATGCATCACCACATAGAGATTGAGTAAGATGTAAAACAATCATACAACGAATACATCATTTGCACACCTTCGTTGAATTGTCTCTCACAAGCTTCATTTTTCCTTTATTCCTTTCTTTTTGATCTTGCTTGGTTTCAGTTTCTCTCTTCTCTTCAACCTTATTTCGTCTTTCAGTATTTAAATATCAACCAGCATTAATTGTAGTTAAATATAATGTCTATCAAGGAATCCCAAATAAAAAGTGAACCAAACGGCGTTTATTAGTCAACATTGAAGATAAGATCTATATTTAGTCAATACAGAATAATGTAAATCTATTAAATAACCCCATTTTATATGAGTAAATAAGCATAGCTTTCGTACACATTAACAAGAAAGACACAAATACAATTTGTCTATCAAATGTATTAAGTCAATTCATGTTTTTGTTATGTAACATACTCAAGTAACTAGAAATGCTAATGGAATATGAATACAACGATATTATCTATCTTGACAATAAAATAATCAGATGGGTTTTGTGGAGATTGTAGTAATTTCAATGGTTAAGATCATGAGTCAATTGAATCTAGACCACCATGGAAAACACAGAAGCACTGGACGACCGTTTCGTCCTATTGTGGGACTCCTCAGCAGTGCGCATCCACGACCTCGACCCCTGAGAGATTCGAGCCCAGGGCTTACTAGCATCGCGCTTGAGCACTTAACCACTAGACCACTGAGCCGGCATCCAACGGTGTTAATGTCTAACTTCAACAATAGGACGAAACGGCTGTCCAGTGCTTCCAGGTTTTCCATGGTGGTTTAGCTTCAATTGACTCATGATCTTAACCATTGAAATAAAATAACCATTTATTTCTGAAGAGAAAGAAATATCAATGATTATTAAGGTGAAAATGTAAACAATTCATCAATATAGATATATAGACTTAGTTGTATAGATGAAACATACTACTTAAATAGACCTAAAACAATTGAGGTAGAATGATATGAATTCAGTTGATTGTTATTTCTGACTATATATATAATGTAAATCATTGGGTAGGAAAATTAAATTTTCTGCTGTTTTGTGACTCAGTATAAACTAATATTTTAGTGAATAAATAAATAAATTAAATTAAACCAAGTTTAAATAGTAGTATCATGTCACTTCGGTTAAAATGATTTATGTGAGATAAACTGGTGTATTTGTGTGAATGTTTATAGCTGGAAAAAATGTATGATTGATAATGTGGAAGAACTGAGTTGAATTGTTATGTATGATAACAATGTTAAATATGAATAGTATCAAATATGGTAGCTCGTACAGATGGTACAAGTTGGATGGGATAGTAAGGGCTTCTTTACCGTTCAGAGTAGCGAGGGAACTCTACCTCCTCGTTGTTGATATTTACCACTTCTATTGATCATTTGTTATTGGTATATGAACACACTTCTGTATATGTGTTGATTTTCACAGTTATATAATATATTCTTGTGGGCCAGGGTAATTTTACATTGGTTTTCAGGAGAACCGGACAAAGTCCAGACTGTCGTGTGACACCCCAAACAGTATAGCTCAATCCCGTTTAACAGAAGGGCCAAACATCGCCCAGACTTAAAATTTGTAGCCCAAATAGTACGGTCCAATCCCGTTTCCAAAAGAACCAGACACTATATATGCTTTTACGTTACAATCTGAATAGTACTGTAGTGAACAGAACACGAGTGGAGACAATCGAATGTATTTGACAGAAAATTACAGGACTTGTTAATAAAATCTAACAATCATAAAGTAAATGCTTAATTTGCAAAATGTCCACCAATTGTCTCAAAAGGACTCAGACTGCATATTTCTTACATTTTCATACAAATTACATCCTGTTTCCATTCTTTACTGTTCAATCCTCTTGTATCTCTGCTGCCAGACCTGTTCACGATTAACATCATATACTAGTTATGTCAATATAAGTAACACACACCACAGTACAGCTCAATACTATGGCAATCACACAGGTGCCAAACACCCTGGTGGACCAGTTTGTACTTTTGGTTAGAAGCGGTATGGTTCCTGTTAAGGAACCATTTATTCTTGAATATCAATAAAAGAGAAATTCCGCGATTAATTTACAAAGCACTTTGTCAGCCGTTTTTAGTAGCTTAACAACTGCACTATAAAAACTCGTTATTACTGATAAGACTTAACATCCTAACCTATAACTCTTCATCAATCTACATTTTTGTTCACAAACAAAGCTGAAATGTATACGGTTGTTGTTTGTGAAAAAGTATGATACTAGTACAGTATGAAATTGGGATTAATTAGTTTGCATCTTATTTCAATATAACTAAACCATAGTTCAATATCCATACTGAGGATGTATCTCTAAATTTGCGGACCCTTAAAACATTCTTTCTACAGTTAGTTACTGATAATTATTAGTAGCTATAGTTAGTTTGCATTCTGGTTTACAATACAGATGGAATAATTCGTTATTAATGTTACATATATCAATATTCACATGTCAGCATAAGTACTTGATTATTATTAACAATTCACATGCTTATTGAAATTCGTCATTTGCTTAGTCCTCAAATCATATTGCATTATTATTATTATTACTACTATCACCGCTATTACTTCTACTATTACTACTACTACTACTACTACTACTACTAATAATAATAATAATAATAATAGTTTATGAAAGTAGGATTTCAACATTTTAAAAATCGCCATGGAATATTCGAGAACAAAGATTATTTTCGTGAATAATTGTTTGCAGTACCTTCATTATCAGGCTCTACGGTTGTAAGGCCTACTATGCACTTTTTGTTCACACCATTTTTTATTGTATTACTATATGATTATTATATTGATTATGATCTGACACTTTATTACAAATTGTTCTGATCTTTATTAAATGAAATTTCTAATTTACAAATAACCAATACACATCCACAGTCTTGCACATTGGACTCAAACCCAGAACCTTCGTCTCGCATGAGAACGCCTAATCTCTAAACCACTGAGCTGGCCGGTATTCAGTCGTGTTAATGTTTAACTTCAGTCGATCCATGATCTTGACCAACCGTCCATCCATTGACTGAAGTGAATAACTGTCTCCACACGACACGGATTGAATGCTAGTGGTTACGGCTTCTTGTCAGTCCCAGCTAGACCACTATTTGCGGCCTGTAGGTTTAGAGGTTAGGTGTTCTCACGCAAGATCGAAGGTTCGAGATCCGACTTCCATGTACGAGATCGTGGGTGCGTGCTGAAGGGTAGTCCCACACCAAAACGGAACGGCCTTCCAGTAATTCCAGGTATCCAATCGTGATCTAGATTAGATTGAATCGATAATTTAACTGTTGAAATGTTGTATTTCAAAAATAGTGAATCTTTACATCTGTTACTTCAAAATTCTGTTATTTGTAAATTTCATTTAATAAAGTGTCAGGTCATAATCAATATAATAATCATATAGTAATACAATAAAAATGGTGTGAACAAAAAGTGCATAGTCGGACTTACAACTATAGAGCCTGATAATGAAGTTACTGCAAACAATGATTCACTAAAAACATCTTTATTTCTGAATATGTAGAATTTTTTGAACATTAGTTTTAAACTGTTTTTTTTTCTGTTTAAAGAGGAAAAATGTATTTGTAGAATCTTAGCCGCAGAATTTGAAGTAAATCTAACGTTTCGTCTAACAATCTGTGCCAAGCTTTTTCAAGAATTAGAACTGTACATTTTTAAAATACCAGTAAGACAATTTAAAGATAAAGCTCTGTTTTGTTAGACCCACAAGTTTTTTTTCTTTATTTTAGTTACCATTCAATAAAGATTTCATAAACACTTACCATCAACTACCTTTATACTA